AAAAAAAAGACTGCAACTTGCTCCCAGGGACTGAAGAAAATTAAAAAAGGTTGGAATCCATCAGTGTTCTGTTAGTCATCCTCTCCTTCATCCTCCTGTTCAAAGAAATAAAGAAAAGGGAGCACTGATTAGTCTTCAAGTTTAATTCTCGGGCCACTTGCGAGGTTTTCATATGGTGCACAGACTAAAAGGATTAGCACACTATGGGGGACATCCCAATTTTCTGGCCTGAATCAATCTACATGGAATTTGGGTTGAAAAATCCAGTGCTCGTTTTAGATAAATCAGCCACATTTTTGCAGTAACAAAACCATTGGTCATTATCTCAGACCTAACTGAAACTAAACTTAAAATCCTGCCTCCTATTACGAACAGAACTCAGGGATATTGTCAGAGTATCACTGGTTCTTGGAGAACAAACGGCTCTTTTCTACAAACTCACATGCAAACTGTGTCAGTTCCTTCCCAATACACTAAAACCCGAAAGTAACAGGGTAAATTCTGTTTAAGGACTGGCTAACTCTTGGTTCTAGTTCCTGCTGGATGAGTCTTTTACCTCTCCTTCCTCTCCCTCGTCATCATCTTCATCTTCTTCCCCTTCATCTTCATCCCCTTCTTCATCAATATCTTCTAAACCTTCCTCTTCTTCGTCGTCGTCATCATCATCTTCTCCTTCACCTTCCTCATCATCCATATCAGGAACCTTAAAAAAAAAGACAAGGAATACACTAAGACCTTGTTTTCCACCAAATGAGGCAAGCACAACCTTACACAAGCTTTCCATTTACAGAGAACATTTTCCACTCACCAAGTAGTACTGTAATGGATTAGGCCAAATGTCATCTTTGATGACCTCCCCTAACTCATCTGCGCCTGCATCAGAGTGGTCGGAAAACCAGGTAAAGAAACTCTCCGGTTCTTCATGCTGCCTCTTCCTGCTGGCTTTGTTCTGTGTCTGACTGGATCGTTTCGTCAAGTCCTAACAGAGACGGAGAGGAAAACACTTCAACTGTCTACAATCTGAATAATAAAATGTTCTCCTTGTCCAAGAGCAGCTATGAAATGACAAACTAAGCTGACCTAAAACTCTAAGCCCCTAAAATTGTACTGTTCTAAAAAATTTATGATCATCTTTCCAAAAGCAACAACTTGGGCTTTTATAAAACTAGACCCATTTGTTTATATATGTATCATGTCACATAACATATCACATAAAACCACAGCACAATTTAACTTTAAATATATCCACCAAAATAAATATCTACCAATAATGGATTTGGGGCAATAGCAAATCATTTTAAGACCTCAACCATCAACAGGGAAACCCCCAAATTTACTGATTCTTTATAATAGCTTTAAGCTATAGCATTTGACTTGATCAAATTTACATGATTTTATATTAAACACATTACAACAAAGCAATGAGATATTTTACAATGCAAAAATATTTTGCTTAATTTCTCAAAGCTTACCTTTCCAGATTTCCATTTGATTTCAGTTGATTTTGAGGATGGATCACCACTCTCATTCAGATGAAATTCTTTGGAGAGAACTTTATTTTCAAAGTAAGGATTTTCATCAAAATACTGCAATAAGTGATGACAAATCAAGTAATC